GCAGAAAGTTGGCATTTTTGCAAAGAAATTAAAGATAGTTAACCTCCATATATTTTTTATATAGAGTGAACTTTGAGTATGTGTCTATGAAAAGACCAAGGACATTGCACCCATGATTAGAAGGGACCTGAGAGTAGACCATGGAATTCAACCTGGAACAGAATGAGAGGAAGCTTCATGGAATAGATGTGTTGGGGGAGGGGAGGCATTAGCAGGGTGAGACAAGATGTGGAGAAGGGGCACCAGAATGAACTGGGCAGAGTTTCTTTAAGAACCTTTCATGAGAACACTTGGAAATTTATGTCAGATTGACACTGAAAAATTTTTGTAATCTCATACAGCTGCTTCTCATTAGTCATGGTAGTTATGTTCTGTAAAGTCATCACAAATTAGTGAATAATGAACCATGCTCCCAGGGGAAATACAGGGCTAAGTTTCTATGAGCCTCTGACCACAATATTTTCATCAACTGATCAGTAGATAACCTTGTTTTATGTGCATTTGTTTAAAGACTCCTTATTTAATATATATTTTGAGTCATTAATATTGAACTCAACAGCAGCACTATACCTCATGCCAAAATAAAACTTACCTAACGTGTATTTTCTCCTTAAGGTACATCACAGACTTCTTGCACTTGGGAACACCAAACATTTCAGCATTGTGCTTGTGGGCCATTTTAAACAGTGAAACCATCACCACCAACAACAAAAGTGCAAAAATCATGGCACCAAATAGACCAACAAAAGGACCCTTGGTTACAGTATGAGGACTGAAACAAGAATGCAGAGTGTCACCTTGTTTGACCTCAGCTGGGAAAGTGTACATCAGATGACTCAAACTTTTCTATTCTCTGTGCATGTCAACAAGAACTGCAAAAGTACCAGGACTATTGATTTGGAGTTATAAATACATTTTAGCAAGTAGGTGAATTCACAAATATGGAATCCATGGAGCCTAATGGACTTATTATGAGGATGATAATTATTTCTTAATTATTAAATATTATTATGAGGATTTACTGTATATTCATATCACAATCAGTATACACATAGTAAATATATTTAGTTCTGATTCCAGAATGTGGTCTTCATTAAGTCGTTCTAGGTATCATATGTGGGTTCCAGAGTTGGGTAATTCATCCTGACTATTCAAATTAGACTTCAAGTGCCCACAGGGGCAAGACTAGGTAAAGAGAAAGTGGTCAGTAATACTTAGTTAGGCCTAGATACACCACCTATTACCCCTATGCATTTGTCAGTAGGATGTTAAGACCAAAAAAAATGTGTGGGTACACAGTGAGACATATGGCAAACTCATCTCCACATGGATTGATACAGCCCCAGGTAAGAGGGGTGAGGGCTGCACCCTTCATCACTGGCCTGGATCCAGGAGTTTGAATTGCCTGAGCTCATTTTTTAGTATCACTTCAAAAATCTTCCAGTGCTGAGACAATGTGTGCTGCCGAGACATGGCTGGAGGGCCCCCACCACTGCCTTGGTTCCCACCATTGAGATGCTCTGGCCAAGGACTGCTGCCTCCCATGGGTTACACAGATTACATGCTCTGTTGTGCTTCAGTGCTGCACTTCCCAGGACCCTGCCAGGCCAAAGCCAATTGGTATTCTGAGAAGAAGTAGGAAAACTCTCTGTATTACTTTCCTGAGGCTGCCATAACAAACTACAACAAACATGGTGATTTAAAACAACAAAAGGTATTCTCACACAGTTCTGGAGGCCAGAAGTCTGAAATCCTGCAGGGCTGTCCTTCTTCCAGGGCCCCTAGGGGAGAATCTTTGTTTCGTCCCACGATTGGTGGCACAGGTGTTCCAGGGCTTGTGGTCTCATCACTCTAGTCTCAGCCTCCCTCTTCACACCTTCTCTGTGTATCTCTTACTAGAGGCCCAGTGTACGATATTTGTACACTGGGGAGGGAGTCCCTCAGCCCAGCCTAAGCCGTCAGTCGGACATCCTTAGTGCTGCTGTGGAGGTGGGCCACTGTGCTGACCAGCCATCAGCCCGGCTTGTGGCTGAGCTGCACTCCCCCTGTGGGAACCAGCGGGCAGCTCCTGTGTTGAGCATCTGCCCCCTGGTGGTCAGTGCCCATCATAGCAACCGGTCGTTCTGTGGTTTGGTCAATTTCCATATTACCCTTTTATTATATAGGATGAGGGCATTCATTTGTCATTGGATTTGGGACCCACCCCAATAATCCAGAATGATCTCATCTCAAGATCTTTAACTTAAGTACATCTGCAAAGACCCTTTTCCAATAAAGTCATATTCATAGATTCCAGGAATTGACATGGACGTACCCTTTTAGTGGGGTCGGAATCACCATTGAGCCACTACACTCTTATTTAACCCATTCTTAACATTTTTTTTCATCTGGAAATTAAAGTGGTCCCCTGGTCTTAGAGTTAAATGGGGGGAAAAAAAACCACAAACACCTCCCTTAGTTCTAGTCTAAAGGCCTTTACTTCCCAGGGCCCAGATAAGTCCCAAGCTGGAGCAAAGGGTCAGTCCCTAAGATTGATATCTTCCCAGTTTCCCCACTCACCTCCCCTAGTGCTCCCTCACACCTCTTCCACCAACACCCACAAGGCATCACCTGTGATGTTTCCCACTGTCAGCCATCTGCTGGCATGATAGTTTCCCAGAGTGAACACTGCTGCGGCAAAGCCAGGATCCTCTCCAACTCCCAGCCCCCAACCACAGATGCATCCCTAAACCAAAATCTTAGTAACTGTTTCAGTCTAAAATTAAACTACACTGAGAGGCTTTACAAAATGAAGAAATAAATAAACCACAAACTCTTTCACAATTAAGTCTTTATAACTTCCCCTCACTGAATTACAGTGTCCTGCAATTATTGGGCAGGTGAAACACTTGTTGAATTGAATTGAACCAAACCTGAAAACAAAAATGAAATAGACAGAATAAAATGAAATAAACCCATTAGGATGGCTAATTTTATGTGTCAACTTGGCTGGGCCATTGCGCACAGATATTTGGTCAAACATTATTCTGGATGTTTCTGTGAGTGTGTTTATGGATGAGATTTAAGTCAGTGGACTTCCAGGAAGGCAGAATAATATGAGAAGGTGTCATCCGATCCATTGAAGGTGTGACTACAACAAAAGGCTACCTGCCCCATGCAAGGAGAATTCTACCAGCAGATGCCTTAGGATTTCATCTATAATATTGGCTCTTCCTGGTTCGCCAGCAAACTGCCTTTGGACTAAATCCACAACTCTTTTCTGAGTCTCCAGCCTGCTGGCCTCCTCCATCAGATTTTGGGCTTGCCAAGCCTCCACAATTGCATGAATCAACCCCTCAAAATAAATCTCTTTCTACATATACACACATCCCATTGGTTCTGTTTCTCTGGAGAATTCTCACTGATATACCGATGCTATGCCAAGGGCCAAACACAAAACCATTTTGTGATTTCAAGTTGATATGGCCCTGCTCACTATTGCATTAAAAGGCCTGGTAGCCTTAGGAGTCACACTGTATTGTTTGTTTTTTATATCCTACAATCTCAAAAAATACACTCAGTTCATTTAACCACATACATACTTTATTTTTATACTTAGGTTTTGATATGAAGTTTCCTCATGCTGGTGGCTGGCATCACTATCGAGTGTTATAAGCTGGGACAGAAGAACCCACTTCAGCTTTCCTCTCAGTCAACGGTTCTCAAAGTGTGGTCTCCAAACTGCAGCATCCACATCACCAGGAACTTGATAAAAGTGCATATTCTCAGGCCCAGCCATGATCTACTGAATCAGGAACTCTTCAGGAGGGGCCCAGGAATATGTCTTCCCACAAGCTCCCCGGTGATTCTGATGCAAGCTAAAGTTTGAGAATCACTGCCTTCAATGTAGAAGACTAAGACACTTCCCCAATTTTCTCAATTACAGAAGGTGAAGATATTCCTCCAACTACCTGATTATTTGATAATTTTGAGTGGTAGGATCCTGAACAGAATCCTTCTAGATTGGCTGATCTTGCACAACCAAAAATACATGTAGAATTAGAAAACACATCCAACCTGACTTTTGTTGCACCTCAGAAATTGGCAAACAGGAAACAAGCAAATTTCTACCAATGCCTAACACTTACCCTCCACTTTAGACTCAAGTCCTCTTCATTCCTTCTTGCCTTCCCTCACGTTTCACCCTGTCACCTAAACGACCTACCCACTCTCTGATTCACCAATTCATCATTCAAGGCCCAGCTGAGGTCCCAGCTTCCTGGTGATATCTTTTCAGCTACACTGCTCTCTCCCTTTATCAAATACCTGGTTGGATTATTGCATGTTCTCATTTAGTTATTTCAATTCAGCGCTGGGTTGCATTGGTATTTATCTGTTCTCCCCTCCCTGAACCCCACAAAAGACTGCAAAGCTCTGAAGGGTAGGGTATACAACTTTAGGTAGTTGTATATGTCTGTCTTAGTCAGCTGAGGCTGCTAAAGTAAGACACCATGGTGTGGGTGGCTTATCAACAACAGAAAGTTATTTCTCACAGTTCAAGAGGCTGGAAGACTGAGATCACAGATGGTCTGTTCTGATAACAGCCTTCTTCTGGGGTACAGATGGCTGATTTCTGGGTGTGTCTTCACTTACTGAAAAGAGCTGGCGAGCATTCTGGTCTCTTATAAAGGCACTAATCCCATCACCAGGGTGCCACCTTCATGATCGAATTGCCTCCTGAAGGTTCCACCTTCTAACATCATCACATGAGGGGTTATATTTCAACATATAAACTTTTTTTTGGGGGGGGGTGGGGGCACACAAACATTCAGTCCATAACAATACCCATGGCACCTAGCACAATGTTAAACACATAGTAGATAAGCAACAGGTACTTGTTGAATTGAACTGAATTATAAAGACTTGGTTACCATAAATTTTATTGGTCTCTGGCAATAGCTATCAGATTTGCCTATTTTTTTTTATAGAAAGTTGATTTATTGGTGGGTGTAAGCAGCACCAAGACCCTCACGAGTGCAGGGCTTGCCATTTGTCCAGGGGACCACGATTAGGGATGTATTTGACCCCACAGCCATCTGGGATGAGGCGCTTCTTGGCCACCATGTCTTCAAACTCATCCGCATTAAACTTAGTAAAGCCCCACTTCTTGGAGATGTGGATCTTCTGGCAGCCAGGGAACTTGAACTTGGTTCTGTGTAGGGCCTTGATCACATGCTCCTTGTTCTGCAGCTTGGTGCGGATGGACATGATGACTTGGCCATTGTGGACTCTGGCCACTGTGCCTTGGGGCTTTCCAAAGGCACCCCGCATGCCTGTTTGGAGGCTAGATTGGGGGCAGCATGAGTTCAGACACGAGTGTCCACCAGAAAGGGCTGTATCCAAGGTCCCTTAAGGCAACCCTTACTAGCAACAGGTTGCGTACACTACCAAGGATGCAGCTGTTTGCAGCCATTGCACACCAGGCCCCCATGGGGAAAAGAGCATGGTCGGCTTAATTGGCTGCAGTGCCTATCTTTTACTAAGCTATCATGAAGAAGTCACCATTCCTTGTCTGGAGGAAAGGGGGAACAAATATGCACAAATAAACAGTAAAAATCAAACTGGGCCCTTGTAGAGGTGCCAACAAAGTGCTACAGAATCGCAGAAGACAGGAGCAATCTGCATGTTTAGCACCAGAGCACTGATAGCACTCAGTAAATATTTCTTTTAAATTATTTTTTTTTAAATATATTTTATTGATTTTTTACAGAGAGGAAGGGAGAGGGATAGAGAGTTAGAAACATCGATGAGAGAGAAACATCGATCAGCTGCCTCCTGCACATCTCCTACTGGGGATGTGCCCACAACCAAGGTACATGCCCTTGACCGGAATCGAACCTGGGACCTTTCAGTCTGCAGGCCGACGCTCTATCCGCTGAGCCAAACCGGTTTTGGCACAGTAAATATTTCTGATGGATTCAATGACTTTCGTATTTTATAGTTTTTGCAGTCACTAGAATAGAATGTGATACATGCTCAAGAAATGTCTGTGGGATGAATAAGTCAACTCTCAAGATAAACTTTAGTGCTCTCCCAGCCTCACAGGCCAGGAGCATCCCCTGCTGTGTGGTGGACACTCTTGTTCCTAAAGTTCTTAGTTGAATCCATAGCAGGAATTTGCCTTTAAAGAGGGTGGGTCAGGACTTTGTTCCTGTGTCCGGAAGTTGAGATTCTGTTGAGTGACTACATCACGTTTCCCTTAAAGAGTAAACAATACGTTCTGTATTATCTGATAATTCTCAAGCATCTGCTCAGCAAACTCTGCATCCCTAGGGACTGAATTCTTACTTAGTTCCTACTAGAGGTCCCAAATTTGATATAGTAGGACGCAGTAGGTGGAGCTCCTCATGCTCCATGCCAACACGACTCACAAGTCCACCAACCCAGCTGCCTTCCTTTGAGCTCTGGGACTGCTGAGAAGCCCTGGGCTGAATAAAGAACCTCATCTTTAATGAGGAAGTTGACTTCCCTTGCCCAAGGGATTGGTGCTCCATAGGAAGAAAATTATTTATTTCTGGTATATCAGGAAAGGACAAAACGATGTGAGACATGAGCATCTAAAAGGCCATCAGAGCGGACACGAGAATGACAGCCAAGAGATAGGGTTCCGGTGCTGCCATTAGCTAACTGAAGAACTCTGGGCAAATCAGAATGTAGGCGTCAGTTCTCTTTGTAGAACAAACAGATTATCTAGTTTACCTCAGATCCTTCTAGCTTAAATATTCATCTCACTGTGTTTTTTACCTATTTGTTATCAGTCCCTCAAAGTAGTATGCCTATCTGGCCAATACTTTTTTGCTTGCTCACGTTTCTGGCTAATGCCTCATCATTTTCCACATCCTTATGCGATTTCTAGCAAATTCTAATATCAGTCTGGTTTCTAAAGCATGTAACTAGTCTCTAGTTCACTTTGTTTCAACTGCTACATTTCAGAATCAGTCCTAATTATCCAGACTATAAATCCAAGACTCTAAACCATAAACAAAGGAATTTTCGTAATTAGAACCATCTCATTGCTGGACTCACTAGAGTTCGGAGAGGTCAGAACTATTGAAGCCCAACTATTGAAGACCTTGAGGCCTCCAGGGTCACCTGGCTCAGATGGTTGGTATTTTTAGAAACTGGTATAGAGTTACTAATGAGAAATGTGAGAGTGATAAAATTACTTCCAGCAGTATTTGCTGGCTGAACTGAATAATCTTGAAGCCTGTTTTGTGTTGTGGTGACAACAAGTGAACAAAGTGTATAGTAGCGTGGGATTTGACGCAAAAGCTTCTGGGTAGAGCTGATCTTTTTTAAAATCCTCCCCCTAAGATATGTTTTATTGATTTTAAAGAGAGAAGAAGGGAGACAGCGAGAGAGAGAAACATCTATCAGTTGCCTCCCAGGTGTGCCCCGACCTGGGATTGAACGTGCAACCTAGGTATGTGCCCTATCTAGAAATTGAACCCTCAACCTTGTGGTATATGGACAACACTCCAACCCACTGAGTCACCAAGCCAAGGCTGGATGGGGTTGATCTTAAACACCCAAGGAACACACTCTTTCTAGGAGCTATTATGGTGTCTTTGGTGTTTGGAGGGTTGCAGCATCAGGGGAACAGGATTCTCGCCTAGGGTCTCAGGAGGACTCTTTTATTTTTTTAATTAAATCTTTATTGTTCAGATTATTACATTTGTTCCTCTTTTTCCCCCCCCATAACTCCCCTCCTCCCAGTTCCCGCCCCACCCTCCGCCCTCACTCTCCACCCACTGTCCTCATCCATAGGTGCACGATTTTTGTCCAGTCTCTTCCCGCATCTCCCACACCCCTTTCCCCCCCAAGAATAGTCAGTCCATTCCCTTTCTATGTCCCTGATTCTATTATAATCACCAGTTCATTCTGTACATCAGATTATTTATTCACTTGATTCTTAGATTCACTTGTTGATAGAAGCGTATTTGTTGTTCATAATTTGTATCTTTACCTTTTTCTTCTTCTTCCTCTTCTTAAAGGATACCTTTCAGCATTTCATATAATACTGGTTTGGTGGTGATGAACTCCTTTAGCTTTTCCTTATCTGTGAAGCTCTTTATCTGACCTTCAATTATGAATGATAGCTTTGCTGGATAAAGTAATCTTGGTTATAGGTTCTTGGTATTCATCACTTTGAATATTTCTTGCCATTCCCTTCTGGCCTGCAAAGTTTCTGTTGAGAAATCAGCTGACAGTCGTATGGGTATTCCCTTGTAGGTAATTGAGTCTCTTTCTCTTGCTGCTTTTAAGATTCTCTCTTTGTCTTTTGCTCTTGGCATTTTAAGTATGATGTGTCTTGGTGTGGTCCTCTTTGGATTCCTTTTGTTTGGGGTTCTCTGCGCCTCTTGGACCTGTAAGTCCATTTCTTTCACCAGGTGGGGGAAGTTTTCTGTCATTATTTCTTCAAATAGGTTTTCAATATCTTGCTGTCTCTCATCTTCTGGTACCCCTATAATTCTGATGTTGGTACGTTTGAAACTGTCCCAGAGGCTCCTTACACTATCTTCGTATTTTCGGATTCTTTTTTCATTTTGCTTTTCCGGTTGGGTGTTTTTTGCTTCTTCGCATTTCAAATCTTTGACTTGATTCTTGCGCTCCTCTGGTCGGCTGTTGGGTGTCTGTATAATATTCTTTATTTCAGTCAGTGTACGCTTAATTTCTAGTTGGTTCTTTATCACAACATCGAGGGTCTCATTAGATTTCTTGAGGATCTTATCAAGTTTATCGGCAGTTTCTAGAAGATTATTGAAAGACCTTAAAAGTGCGTTTTTTAGCTCTATATCCTCCATTTCTGTCATGTTTCTTTGTCTCCGCATTTTTTATGCTTTTTTGGTGCACCCCCTTGTGGTCTTTGTGCGCAGTCTTGTTGTAGTTAAGCCTTGATTGTTGTCGGTAATACTGGGGGTGAATTGACCTCCAGGCTAACTGGCTATGAGAGTCAGCTGTGTCTGCAGTGGAAGAGCTTCTGTGCTGGAACTCTAGGGCGGTGCTAATCTAGCCTTTGCCTGAGGCTATCCGGCAAATGCCTCTGTGCTGGGCTTGGGCGGGGCGGGTCCCCGGGGATCTACAGGGCGGGCGGAGCGAGCAGTTATGGCTGCTCTCAGTTCCATCCCCAGCGGCTCTGCAACCGCTGCAAACCTCGGAGAGAAAGCTGCCTTCCCGCTTCTCCCGTCCGAGTCTGGGTCCCTAGAGACTCCCCTGGATCTGGAGCTCAGAGTCTGAAACTCCCTCCCGATTGAAAACAACAACCGCGCCCTCCGCTGCCGGCCCACTCCACATGCACTCCGCACCTCAGCATTTCACTTCAGCACTGCGCCTCCTCTGAGTCTCGGTATGGTTGTAGAACTTCCACTCAGCCAGCCTTCCTGTGGTTCTGGATGATGTCCGTTTCGTCTTTTAGTTGTATTTTTGAAGTGGTTGTTCGAGGCAGCAAACTCTGGCGTTAACCTATGCTGCCATCTTGGTTCCCTCCCAGAGGACTCTTTTTTAATGAACATAATGGCAGCAGAGATGGCCAGGCCAGCAGTGAGGAGGGACACAAGTCCTGGTGTAGCTGCCAGTCTCAGGATAGATAAAAAACACAGAGATGTGAGCACCTGAAAGGCCATCCATATTAACATACGTTAATATGCCATAAAGTCTCATAGAAAATTTCAATGACAATTCTTGGTTTGTTGGAGTTGTTTTTGTTTTTTCTTTGTTTTAGACAATCTTTCAGGAAATCAAAACTTTCCATTATTAGTCATATCAGTAACTATCATCTACTGAGAGCCTAACATAGTCGAGGCCTGTGATGTCTAATACAGGTACTGCATGGGTATTTATATTTCATTTAAATGTAAATGAAATAAAGTTAAAAATTCAGTTCCTTAGTCACACTAGCTACATTGCAAATAATCAGTACTCACATATGACTAGTAACTACCATATAAGGTAGCCAGAATAGGGAATTTTCATTATTGCAGAACATTCTATTAGACACTCCTGTAGGCACTCTCTAAATGTACATATTTAGTGGGCATTGTTCTTAATCCTCCTCACACCTCGGTATAGTAAATATTTTCACCTCATTTTGCTGCTAAGGAAACCCAATCTCAGGAATATTTGGCCAAGTTCATGTACAGAGTAAGTGGCAGAGGTAGGACACAATTTTAAGTTGGTCTGGTTCCTAAGCCCCTTGTACCATGTTTCTTGATTCCAGTTTCTCATCATGAAACCTCCTTTTTCAAAAAGTCCTTCAAAAGGATATTCACCAAAGAACAGAACTATCATTGAGCTATTGAGAAGTCAAGTAGACAGTCAGTCAAACTACCAAGGTGAGGGATAAGTTGTCAGTAAAGTGGCATAGGCGTGTCAGGATGCTTATGTGTAAATATACCCTATCACAGTTAGGCAAACAAGCTTTGGCAGCTGTCACACTTTACCTGATAGCTCATGGTCCAATAATGAAGACATCATTCTAATGTGCTCCTAATGTCAACAAGCCTTAACCTGTCATTGGATGTCACCTATAAGCGATGAGAAATAAGCAAAAATTAGGACTCCATCTTATAGAAATTCATGCTTTGTCTAGAGCAGGAAGGCTGTGTATATCGTTCTAAAATGTACCTCAAGAAAGTGTTTTTAAAGAACTGGATAGAAAGACTCCAGACATGGGAAACTAAGTTCATTGAAGAAATGGATAGCCTTTAGTGAAGGGAGAACAAATGTGAGAGTTTTTGCCAATGGAATGATGAAGGTGGGATTGTGATTGGAGTAACTGGTCTGTGTTTCCCAAGGACAGGACCAAGCTTTGTCTTTTTTTACTTCTACGCCATGTGCATGTTGCTGGCATACAGTAGTTGCTCGTTAATTGTTTCTTGAATTGAACCAATTGTAAGAATTTCCTGTCCCCGTAAATCCTGATGAAATAATTAGAATAATAGGATAGATGATACGATGTGGCATTTTGGTCAACTTTTGGATAAGAGCAGCCTTGCTCTTCTCCAATATCTGCAACACAGGTGTCTTTGATATTGTGCTCAGTTTACGTGACTAACACGTATTATGGTTAACCCTCACAAACTCGCTTGGAAGACAAGCTTCACCCCAAACCCCAGAGGTGCAGAGCCTTCAAAGTCAGCAGAACTCAGCTCCAATGGAGTCTGTGTACCCCACCTCAGACGCCCATACGATGATCTGAGTACAGACTGTAAGTCCTTGAAGTTTGGGTGTCCGCCCTGGAAGCCAATTTGGACAGAAATTACCTCAGCTGTACTCAGACATGAGAGAGGACAACTTGTTTTTGATACAGGGAATAGGAACCAAGCCAGAGGGCAGTGGAGGGAATGGAGTAACCAGAGGGAAACACTCTGTCTTGCCAACTTTTTTCTACCTCTAGGCAAGCAGTCATCTTCAAAGCCACTTCCTTTCAAGGTTACAATGAGAGTAGGCAGATCCTGCCTTACCCCTGCATGCCATGGAGACTCATGCCTGATATTAATAGGACATTATCAGCCCAGGTGCCAGGCTCGGTGACTCACAAGGCAACAAAACCGTGGCACGTGTTGGGTGGTTGTGAGCTTTCCCAGAGATCAAATCCCAGGGCTGTGAACTTGTGCTCTGAGTCTGGGTAGGAAAGTTTTTCTCTTTTTCCAGAAGGGCTGCCTTCATGTCTCCAAGTCAGGGAACAAGGCCAGTGCCTGGGGATTGATCAACGAGTGATTTAACGGTTCCCTCTACCTCAGGTTGTAGGGGACATGGATAAAGAAGGATCCGTAACAACACAGAAAATGTTATAGGGGTGAGAAGGAAGGCAAGTTCTCTTTAGCAACTCCTAGTCTCTGCTCGTTTTTAAATTTCTCCATAGAGCATTTTTGTGCTACGTCAGCACATTTATAAAGCTGCCCGGTCATGCTGGGGATGTGCTTCAGTTCATTCATTTAACAACCCTTGAGCCTCATTCCATAATGTCTGGCCATCCAGGTCCTATGTGCGCACACAGGAGGGTTTGTACATTAGCAACACTAACACTGGGGGTGGAACGTGGAGAAGGTTCCCCAGGGAGAGATGTCTGAAGTAAAATAGGCACAATTAAACAGGGAAGGGAATTCTATGCCATGGGAGTAGCATATGCAAAAGCCTATACATGAGAGCATGAATATTCAGGGAAAAGAGGTTCACAGTGACTGGAGCATACGACATAGAAGTGGGAGCATTACAGATGCTGATGGAGAGATGGGAAGGCCCACATACACCCAGAAGCTCCCATCAGCTGAGTACTGGTATGAATCCAACACTTTCTGTGAATGGTTTCACTTACTATTCACCCTAGGAAGTAGTTACTATTATTTTCTCTAATTTTAAAAATAAGGAAACCATGGCTTAGTGAATTTATATGACGTGCCTGTGATCATTGTTCTGGAGTTAATTAATGAGAGCACCAGACATAATTAAATTAGTTCTGGAATTGTTGGTCAAAACCAAATCTTAACCAAGCCCACTGAGCCCCAATGCCTTATACTTTGGTTAAAAAGATTACCAACTAATATTAGAATTTAATTATAATAATGCATTCCTTTATTCCTTCAGTAATGAAGTCACCCTATATTTATTGAGTATCTGTGATGTGTTAACTCTATTGTAGCCACTAGGAATAAGCCAGTGAGCAAAACATACATTTTGCCTTCATGGAATCTACATTTCTAATGAGGAGAGTCAGGCGGTTAAAATTAACAAAAATAGAATAAACAGAATTAGGGTTTCTTTTTATGAACAGAACTCTTTAATTTTAATATAGTTAAATATATCCATATTTTTATATAATCAATTTGAGAATATTTTCCTACCTTAGAGTCTAAACAATATTTATTTCCTACTACAGTTATTTCCCAATATTTTGAAAACTTTAAATCTACAGAAATGTTATAAGAACAAGTAAATGCAATATGTGATCCCTGATTGCATTCTAAATCCAAATATGTTAGTACAAAGGCTAAATATGTTAGTACAAAGGCTAAATTCAGCTAGATTTGTGAATTGTCAATATTTTGCCATATGTAAAAAGTATTATTACTACTATTATTATTAGTTTTCAGAACCATTTGGAAATAAATGGCAGGCATTAAACACTTTATCCTTAAATTGTTAAGTATATGTTTCCCACATTCTTGTAATAACTACAATGCAACTGCAATACTCAAGAAATGTTAACTGATACTGTTTTATTATCCAATATGCATTTCATATTCTAATTTTTTTAGATATATGAAAAATGTTCTATATACAGGGTGGGGCAAAGTAGATTTACAGTTGTGAGTACATGAAACAGTATATTTTTATATTATTATTTATTAATTATTGTATTATTTTCCATACAAGCAACTGTAAACCTATTTTTGCCCCACCCTGTATATGAATCTATGTATATTTGGATTTAGAGTGCAATCAGGGATCACATATTGCATTTACTTGTAATGATCCTTTAGGCTTCTTTAATTAAGAATCCAGACCAATTGCTTTTCAGAATGTTTCTCTATATGGATTTTTCTGATTGTTTCCTCTGTTTAGATTCAAGCTAGTATTTGTTCCTGATCTTACTGGCAATCACAGATCCATGATAAAAGTTCCCATCTCCTGCCCTAACCGGTTTGGCTCAGTGGATGGAGCTTTGGCCTGCGGACTGAAAGGTCCCAGGTTCGGTCCAGACTAAGGGCATGTACCTTGGTTGCAGGCACATCCCTAGTGGGAGGTGTGCAGGAGGCAGCTGATCAATGTTTCTCTCTCATTGATGTTTCCAACTCTCTATCCCTCTCTCTTCCTCTCTGTGAAAAATCAATAAAATATATTTTTTTAAAAAAGTTCCCATGGGACTTCTATTAAAAACTCAAGTTCCTTGTCAGTCATGGCATTAATTCGGGCACAGGTTAAGCTCCTGTAACAAAAAGACTCACAATTTTCAAGCTGAAACAAGGTAGACTTTAATTTCTCTCTCATAAAAGTCTACAGATGAGCAGTCTACAGTCCTAGTGAGGAGGAAACTGGTCTTGCAAGGCATGTCAGGCCATAAAAACTGTGAACAATGCACTGCCCTGGAGGGGGGTGGGGGAGATCGTTATCGCTGGCTCCAGGACAGATCATCAGATATGGCCTGGGGACCCCCAACACCTGGGGGCCTTTCTGTAAGCCCATGAAAGGGGGTGGAACCATATCTGCAAGACAAAGACCCCAGAAGGTTATAAAAAGTGAAGCCCTCTGCGTGTTACTTCACTCTGATTTGGAAATTATTCCCAGAGTCCACTAGTGTTAATAAACAAGGTCCCTCCCTTTCTCTAGGACGTGTGCTATTTCTTTGGTCTTCTGCAACACAAGTAGAGTGGCTCTGCTCCGTAAAGTCATACAGGAACCCAGGTTCCTTCCATCTTGTGGCTCCATCATTGTCATTGCTGCGTTTGTTTTTCTCAAAGGCAAAGCTGCTTCACTAGCACCAGATCTGAATTTCAGCACACAGGAAGGGGAAAAAGAAGATACAGTGCATGTAATTTGTCCCTTTTAAAGAATGAGACCTAGAAGTTGCTATTGTAACTTGCACTCATTGACCAAACCTCACATTTAGGCACAAAGAAGGCTGAGAACAGCAATCAGTAGCTGGGGAGCCAATTGCCCTGTTAAAGCTCCATAAAAGGAAGAAGGAGAGAGTGGACACTCACAGCCCATAAGTGGTCTACAGTCATCCACTAAGTTGTTATTTCCTTTAGTGAAGACTCAATACATGAACCAGTGGATTCAGCTCATTAACCTCTTTCCTTAGGTTATTATTCACGATACTTACTTACATGTTTTCTTTTTCGGGTAGAGCTCTTTAGAATTCTCTTAACATAGTTTTAAAATATCAAAACTTTTCAGCAAAAAAATCAAAAAAAAAATCATAAGATCTTAGTTGCAAGAATGGAGGATTGTCATCTCAGAAGGTTTTGGTATAGTTCTATATTCTCAAATACAATTCAATGGGGATATCAAAGTTAATTCAAAAAGCAGAAACAAATTGTTTGCATACCAGAATTCAGGTTTTTCACTTTTCATTTATTCATGGGGAAACTAAGGGGTGAGGAGGAAAATATGTATTTGGTTGACTTATTTAATGTACAAAAGGCATAAACACACTGAGAGGTAGCTATAGTATGGTAATGTCAAAAATGACCTTAGAGCAGCAGTTCTCAACCTGTGGGTCGTGACCCCTTTGGGGTCGAATGACCCTTTCACAGGGGTCGCCTAAGACCATCGGAAAACACATATATAATTACATATTGTTTTTGTGATTAATCACTATGCTTTAATTATGTTCAATTTGTAACAATGAAAATACATCCTGTATATCAGATATTTACATTAAGATTCATAACAGTAGCAAAATTACAGTTATGAAGTCGCAACGAAAATAATTTTATGGTTGGGGGTCACCACAACATGAGGAACTG